TTTTACGTTTTGGCCCCGTTTGTTCCGATATGAAAGTTTTGAAATGCATGGATCTTTGGAAAATATTTTTAACTATTTTTTCATGATAAAAATATTTTTTAAGTCCAAATATCACTTTTAAAAGTCATTTTTATATTTGATCAAAATGTTGCATTGGATTGACTTTTAGTGCACAAAAATTGTTTTTACTTAACCATTTATTGCCATGTATCAAAGTGTTAGTACCTTTACATTTTGCCGAAATTTGGCTCTTAAATTCTTGAATGTGTGACTTCAATCTTGACCTTTTTCTTTGATGTCGTCTCTCGTGCTCTTCATCTTTCTTCGTCTCGAATGATTTGACTTGAGTACTTAGTGCTTAATTGATTTTAACATTGAACTATCATTACTCAAAATAAATTGTTAGAAACAATATTAATCTTATTTGTTATGATCAAAATATTGTGGATGAAGTCAACCATAGGTCAACATGGATAATATTTGCATTCACATCGCATGGTATCTTTTGTTTGAAAGTTGAGTTGTAATATCATTAGAACAATGTGATTTAACACCTCGATTTCAAGTACATACACTTTCCAAATTATGTTGGGAACTAGTTGCAAGTAGAAGGTTGTATAATTATATTATGTTGACTACATTAATTTGTCTTGCATTTGAGACTACATGTTTTTTGTTGTGACTACTGAGCGATCATTTTCAACAATGAAACATGTAAAGATGGCAATTCATAACAAAATGGATGATAATTTTATTACTAATTAAATACTCTACATCGAAAGAAGATTTACTGTGAATCTAAATATGGATTCTATCACAGATGAATTTTATGTTCTAAGGCCATGTTGAGTACCATTGCATGAACTTTTTTCATTATACTAGTCTTCGTCTCGTGCGTTGCACGAGTATTGTATTTATTATGTTATTATTAGTGTGAAATATATAAAATTTAGAAAATGTATTTGAAGATTTTGAAAATGAGAAATATTTGTGTCACAAACTAAATGATTTAACAAATTAGTGAAAAAAAAAATAGCAGACAAAAATAGAAAAAAAAATTACATAGCAAAAATAAAAAGAAACAAAAAAAATTATTATAAAGTTTTTAAATTAAATTGAAATAATTAAAGTTAAAAATAAATACTATTTAATTAAAATTGAAAAAAATTGCATTTTATCGTAAAATAAAAGAATTAAAAAAAATTTAATCGACAAAAACTATTTATAATGTGAAGAAAAAAGAAATTAAAAAAATAATAAAAACAAAATAAAAGAAAGTTACGAAAATTAAAGAAAGAATATATAAATATTATTTAGTTAAAATTAAAAAAAATTAAGTTTTATCATAAAAAGAAAAGAATTAAAAGAAATTTTTTAAATAAAAATTATTTCCAATATGTACAAAAATAAATAAACAAATAAAAATTAGAATGTATGAAGAAATTCCTCCGTGTGTTAGATAGAGAGGTTCTCTCCATGCACGGAGAGAACCTTTTTCTTTTCTTTTTTTTTTCTTTTTTTTATTTGTTTTGTTTACAATATAAATAAGTTTTTTTTTTTTTTTGAATTTTAGTTTTTAAAATTCTTTTCTCTTGATGATAAATTTTAATTTTTTCAATTTTAACTAAAAAATATTTATATATTCTTTATTAAATTTTCGTAACTTCTTTTATTTATTTTGAAAATTGTTTTAAAATTTCTTTTTCTTCATATTATAAATATTTTTTTCGATCTAAATTTTTATTAATTCTTTGTACAACACTCCATACACGGAGTGGAACACAGAGCGCATGGTGGTAGAATTTTTTATTTTTTCCTTTCTCAACTCCAATTTCTCGAGTTTTGGGGAAATTTTGAGGTTATCCATTTTGTATGAAATTTCAGTCAAATTTAATTAAAAACGTACCAATCCAACTAATAAAGAAAAGAAACTGAATAATTTAACAAATTAAATAATAAAAATGACAGACAAAAATAAAAAGAAACAAAAAAAATTATTATAAAGTTTTTAAATTAAATTGAAATAATTAAAATTAAAAACAAATATTAAATTATTAAAATTTAAAAAAATACGTTTTATCGCAATACAAAAAGAATTTTAAATCAAACAAAAAATTATTATAATACGAAAAAAAGAAATTTTAAAACAATTTTAAAAATATAATAAAAACAAAATAAAAGAAAGTTATAAAATTTCAATAAAGAATATATAAATATTATTTAATTAAAATTAGAAAAATTAAATTTTATCATAAAAACAAAAGAATTAAAAAGAATTTTTTCAAATCAAAAGTTTTTTTTTTTGCAATAAAAACAAAACAAAATGAGGAAAAAAAATGTGAGATGAAAAGAACACGCGATCCCACTATGTGTGGATGGTGCACATTTAAAAAACTAGATGTAGAGGAATCTCTTCGTGCACGGAGAGACATATTTTAAAAATTAAAAAAAAAAATCTTTCCGTGCATGGGAGACAGACATTTTTTTCCTCTTTTTTTTTTTTATTTGTTATGTTTACATTATAAATATTTTTTTCAATTTAAAATTCTTTTTAATTCTTTTCTCGTGATAAAATTTTTTTTTCGATTTATAATTCTTTTTAATTCTTTTTGTTCTTCGAAAAATGCAATTTTTTAATTTTAACTAAAAAATATTTATTTTTAATTTTAATTATTTCAATTTAATTTAAAAACTTTATAATCACTTCTTTTTTTGTTTCTTTTTTATTTTTGCCTGCAGTTTTTTTTAATTTGTTAAATCATTTAGTTTGTTTCATTTATCAGTTGGATTGGATGATGTGAAATAGCTAGTGTGTGAAAATGGAGAAGTATTGCAGTGGAGGTAATGATTGTAGCAAGGTGACGTGTAAAAAATAGAGAAATGATTGAAAAATAAAACGTCATTTTTGCTCCCACAAAAAAAAAAAAGGAAAAAAATCTACAATGAGATAAAATGAAACAATTCACTGTTGATTTCTACAATAACTTCATATTCTCATTTTTATATAATAGGGATTTGAAATTTATTCATGGTCTTTAACTTTTTTTGAAATTACCCTCCGTCCAACATAAATTCTTAATTCGGTCCATGACCAACATCAAGACCCCCAAAATAACTAGATTCAATCAAACTCAAACTTACTTCTTGCATGTACACACCATTCCATTATGGCAACTATAATAAGTATACATTATTAGTAGATGGATTATTCTCCTTGTACATAATGGGATCCATAAGGGTGTCCATTATGGATCTCATTATGTACGCCTAGCACCGTCCATTAGTAGCTTACTAAATTCAACCAACAATTATTTCTCCGTAGGCTGAAATTCCATTACCTCAATTTCTCAATATGATATGATTTAATTAATTTTATGAGTGGAAGTTCATTTTATTATTTTCATGTGACTTTTAATAAGCTATTTCTATTTGAAAGAGACGTATTGTTGGGAAGCTCAAGTATTAATCTTCGAGTATTAAAAAAAAAAAAAAAAAAACAATTGGAGAGATTTTGAAATAAGATACATACGTAAATCTTATCTCATGAGACAATGGCAATTGGTAGCTTCGATACCTAAATTCGGCCGAAGTATGGAACTCTGATATCAATGAACTGCATGTATATAAATTGTACACAAAATATAAAAATTCCAAGGCCGAGAGAATAATGAAGAAGCATTCCATTTGAGAAATGGAATCTATATGTAGAAACCTTTCTTAGTTATATTGTTTTCTTACATGCTGTCAATAGTCGATCATTAAGTTCATTTGCCAGTCATTCTTCGATTCCATCAGCCTTTCCTTACAAGTAAGGGTCATTGATGGGAAGGGTTCGACCTTGACTTGTTTTCAATAGTTGGATATTTTATCAAATTTGTGACCAATTAAGTACTCGATTAAGGTTGCACTTGAGCCATAATATAGCTTTGCAACTCACCAGAATCTGGTCCATTTTAAATCATCTTCTTCTCTACATTAGCAAATGGACTAAAGTGGGCTCGAAATGACCGACTTTTGGGTTTTACAGTATTTGGGCTCTAATGAACAACGGATACTGATAAAACTAAGAATAAATAGGTTTCATTATTAAAGTCCTCTTTTATAGCGTTGTAATTTTAGCAGCTATTTTGTAAGTCATACTCCTAACCTTGACAAGTCCATTTAAACTATGTCAAAAAAAAATTTAACGATTGATCAATAATTATTCATTGAATCTTGTTATTTGTACAATTTTCTTTATAAGTTGTTCGATAGATAATGAGATGACATGCATTTAGTCAACAATTGTGTAAAAATATTTCTCTACAAGTAACTTAATTGTCAGTCTAATTAGGATGCAAGAGAGAAGTGTACAATAAATAACTCAAATTATATACTAGCAAATATGCTCTACCCTCTTTTGACTTGATGACTCGAGGGCTTTGGGGAAATTTTCCATCACCTTCTTTGCAAGCACGTGTAATGACTTATATTCGAGAAGATATGGAATTTGAACACCAACATCAAACTCGATATCGGCAATATTCATTTTTGAAAACCTCCCCCAATACACAAGTGCAACCTTTTCCATCACAATGACTGTAAATATATTCTAAATCTCATCTTCTCCATACCAAGTTACACAAGAAAAATACTTGGTACGGTTGGTTTGAGGTTGGTGAATCGGTGATCGAGCTCAATTAACAAGATAAAATAAGCTTTAGATTGTTGCACTATATCCTCAAAGTAGTCAATGTACAACTAATGACTCGTAGCGTGCAATAAACTGACAATTGTGTATTTGGATCTTGAAGCCCACCTCATATCATCAATCTAGGTGGCAAAAGCTTTCTAGGATTTCAGTATTTCACACGCACAAGCATAATGTAATACTTTAATAAGTTTTTAAGATAATGTCGAACCTTCGTGTTAGATGTTTAATAGAGAGCTTCAAGAATGAAGATATGGGGTGAAATACATATCTCAATGGAATTCATATTCCTAGTATTTCCCATTTTAGCTAAGGATGTAAACTTCCATTCGATTTCAACCATCAACCTGTTGATTTTAGTCCCATTGAACGGTACAAAATAACGTAGATATTTACAAAATATTACAACATTTCTGAGCGGCCAATACCTAAACAACTAAAATCTGCCCAAAGGCCCAAAACAAATTGAGATCAACACTTGTAAATCAAAACGAGTTCATTTCTAGAATATAACTTCTGCTCTTGAGCAATCTCTCTGCAGCCTCAGCATAAATTCCTTCTTTCCCGAAGGCTTCAGCGGCCAATTCAATGTCGCCGCTCTGCTCCTCCATCTCATTCCGCTCCCCGCCACCTCTCAACGGTCGCACCACCACCAATGTGGCACCCTCCATCAACATTCCTTCAGAAAGTTCCATTCTTGCCTCGTGCCTCATCCTCATTCTTACTGCAGGTACTTTCGTCCTGTTAGTCCTCCACCACAATCCGCTGTCAGCCCCATTGCTGCTTTCATTTATTTCTTCCTCCATTTCGTCGGCGGACGAATTCCGGCATTCTTTCAGTCCGTCTTTGTCGAGTTTTACAGATCCCTCATTCTCCCTATCGTTCACAATGAGGTTTGTAAGATGATTTTGCTCGCTAATCACGTCTAGCATCATGTAATGCCTTGCAGATGCAGCGATCAAAACGCTTATAGTCCATACAACGCGCATTTTCAGTCCCCCTCCAGCTCCGTCGCCGTCATTATTATTAAAATCCACCGTTCCTTCCAAACCTGTATTACCACTTCTGAACCCCAAAATTACACAGTTCTTCAGGGTCTTCCCAAATCTCGCTACCCATTTAATCGTCGTGCCCTTCTCGAGCCTCAGGTCTCCAGAAGGCAACTCGACTCGTAGATTCCTTATCCCGTCGAACCCGCGAAGGATCTGGGTCGGAGAGTTCTGACATCGGGCCAGGTCAGGCAAAGAAGCCCTGTATGGCGAAATGAGATCCTGAAGAGTCTTGAACAACGACTTGAAGATTGTGAAAACAAACGAAACACCATCTTCAAACTCCGAGTCGGAGGCGGAGATTACTCTGTCCACACGGAGGAGGACTGAGTCCGTCTGAGGGACAAGGGAGTTGAACCGCTTGGAAACGGATCGGCAACGAATGAGGGACTTGATGTCAGATATGTTGTTGAAGATGAGGATTATAATCGGGTCGGGTATGCAGTCAAAACAGTCGGATCCGAATTCATCCGGCAAGTAGGCCATTTTTTCCTTTGCTCTGAGAACTGAATTGAATGAGGAGAATTGTAAATGAATAGGGAATGGTGGAAATATGGAGAGTGTATCATGTGAATGGCACGAACACCACTGAGCTTTAAGAAGCGCGTAGATTTGACTGTAGACCAGTTATTTGTTGGGGCCCTCTCCCTCATTTGCCGGCTTTCACCGGAGACTACGTGTGCGCGTCTTTTTCTTCCTTTTGGTATGTTACGTTGGTTAGGTCAAGGTTTGTGTACCCAATTTCTTAAAATTTATTTTGAATTTTTCATCATAGATTTCAAGTGATCAAAAGCTTTTTAATTATATTTTTCTATCAACTTCTATCAAAATACTAAAAATTTAATTTTTATCGAAATTAAATAGGGGCTAAATTGACATGAGTAAATTTGTAGTAAGCCCTTGTTTGACCCCATTCTTTCCCAAAAAAAAAATATATATATATTCTTAAACAGTGTTTTGACATCATTTCAACCACACATTTTTCAATAAAATAATATTACACGTAAATTCAAAACTTTTACTTATTTTTTAACCACACATTTTTCATTAATACACTATTCAAAAATTCATTTTTTCCCCAAAAATTGGGCTCAAACAAGGCCTAAATATATTTTCCTATATATTAATTATAACTTCAATTTTATTTAATTGAATAACTATATTCTAGTAGATTTTAATCTGATAACTATATTTTAGCTTGATTTCAATTAAGATAACTTTGTTCAATTCTAACAAAAATAATCAATGATATGACAGTCGGTAGAAAATGGTTATCACACGTAATTTTTAGTTACAACTTCATTGAAATTAATGAAGCATCACTTATTGATTGCAATCTCATTGATTTTCATCTGTTCAATGGTGAAACTAGACTAGGTTAGCTCATTGAAATCAAATAAAATTGTAAATATCATATTGAATGAAATTGAAGTATAATTACCTGATTGAAATAGAGTAAAAATATAGTTATTACGAATGAAAATTACCTAATTATTGTATGTAACATGTGTAGCTCCACTTGAGAGTACTCAATTTTGTACAAATATTCTCAATAACCATGTCTAATTTTAGTCTCTAACTGGAGAGTCTCACAATCAGACAAGCTTATATTACAACGTTCACAAACAAGATTTTAACTTTGTCTTTGGAGTGCGAAAGAACGAATCGTACCCATGTATGGTTTAGCTAAAAATCAGATTTTTAGTATATTTTCATAAACGTTGATAAACTATGTAATTAAAAAGTAGATAAAATGTGCAAATTTTATTAAATATATGATTAAAAATAAATTTTAAAATAATTTTGCCAATAAAATCTAAACGGGATTTAGCCATTTGAGTTTTGCGTATGGGATTAAAGATTTTGGTCAAAAGGATAAATTTACCCTCTGTATTACTAATAAAAATAAATTATTGAATAAGTTTTCACAATGGGTAATGAGTCAAACTCTGTTTAATAAATCAGTTTATCAGAAAACAAAAGGCTCCTGTTTCGATTTTTGTTTATTTTTATTATATAAATAACGGATAAAATCTAATTTAAATTTGTGATCACCAATAAATTTTCCATTCTAAATATAATGAAAAAGAGTCGTTTCTCTTACATTGCATTGGAAAAAAAAATGTGATCTCTCGTAGAAAGAACTTTTTTTCAACTAAAGTGTCGAGCTAAGCATCATGCTTAATTGATCGTTTATAGATTAAAGTGTTATTATTATTATTATTTCACTTAATTGCATGCCTAACTCATTAATTGATGGTGTGAAATGTGCAGATGATGTAACCTTTTTTTGTCATATTATCGTTTGTTTTTTCAATCATACTATGCATTCATGCTTAAATCCAAACTCAACATGTCGATGCGTGATTGCACTGTTTGAAAAATTAAAACAGAAACACTCAATTATTTTTTGACATATCAATATGTCTCTTCACTCCCTGTTTTTCAATTGGCAAAGTGACTTTATACTTGTTTTTTTATATAACATGTTTGTTACTATAATTTAGGAATACTTTGAAATGCATAATCTGGATTAGGGAAACACCATAATTATTTTGTAATTGCTTATAAGTCACGGGTTCATAACTCTTTTGTCAAGGATAGAGTGGGAATAATTGTTTTATAGCTTATGATTCACGGGTTGGTTCGTTTACTTTAGAGAAAATCACGGTGAAAGGGGATGCAGATCTAGCATTTGCAATATTCCTTCTCCATATTCTTATTTTTATTTAAACTGAGTTTCGAAAAAAAATCACGTGACTACTTAAAAGTTGAATGCAACTCGTGACGCATCATTTCAATTCCCTTACCCGCCACAAATGTTAAGGAATGTAAGAGATTCAAAGTAGTGATTTTCACAGCATCGTACACTTCTCTAGACCTCTAAATTTCTTTATTATTATTGTTGTTGTTGTTGTTGTTGTTGCTGTTAAATTGATCGAATATTCACCTAGTTTATTATTGACGTGGAAAAGGCATTCTGGAGTTGATTCGAAGCAGCTAAAAATTATTTGAATTGCACAAAATCAATTAGAAGAATTAAGAGGTCAATATCAAAAGGAATTCACGAGTTTCGAGAGCTAAACCCAACATTTGAAAAGTTTGAGAATTCAATTGCAAACTTTTAAAACTTGAAACAGAATAATTACAGATGATTGTAGAGAATGAGGATTGAATTATTAATATGTAAAGATAAAGGACCAAAAATGAAAATAGAAATGAACAAAAGGAGAAATCTATGGACCAAGTTGAACAGAAAACAAAAATCCTCAAGATCGCAAAGTCCTAAGGAAGCAATCACAAGTCCAATAACCTTCTGTGGGCCTGAACGTCAATTACCTAAAAAGTTGAACCTGGACCGGCCAGCTTAATGTGTGAAGAATAAGCCTACATGTTTATGATCCAACGGACTGTTTCGGCCCAATTATAACTGATCAAAAATTGTCAACAGTGATGTTAGCAGTTGTTTGGCGGAAGAGTTGTTGCAAATTACCTCATCGCGTTTTTAACCTTTTTATCCAAAAATTCATCAAGCAGAATTTAATAGTTTAACTCGATTTCATTGTAAATCTTGGAACGAGTTTCTTCACAATTCAATTGACACACTCCTCGCAAAGGCAAATGTCATTTTAAGTCGAGCTCGAAAATTTATTATTTACTTGTCCCTATTTGATGGTCCACATTATTGTTCTGTCTTTAAATTTTGACATCTCACAAAATTATATCATATTAGTGTTTCGCGCGGGTAGTTGCTAACAATTAAAAAGGGATCAAACGATTGTGTAAGGGACAACTCTCTTGAGAAAAAGTCTCAAAAAGGGGTGTTTTATTGGCAATGACTTAACAATTTGGAACTTAAACAGAAATACCTCCAAGGGGCGCAAGCACACGATTACTGAAAAAAATGTTTTAAGTCTAAACTAAGAAATTGAAATTACATATTTTCTGTTTGAGAGTGTTTGATTCGGGTCCTTTGCTCTATGACTTTCCTTCCTTTTATATTCCTTTGATAGTTTCTTTGTGATCAATCGTTTAGAAACCGCTTAATTGCTTTATAACTGCTCACTTTCTCCATGGTGGCCAACTTATCGTGGAATTGCCGTCTCTAAATGCTGTCATTACTCTTTGTCGTTCAACCGTTCTCAACTGAACATCTTGAATTGCGGAACGTGATAAAATTACCAAATAACTGCTTCAATAACTGTACTTTTGGATAACCATAATAGCTTATGTTTGCTAAGATCCTGGATGATTTGAAAGTTTTGGCGAGAACAGGGTCATAACTCTGGGTGACTGCAAGGCACTTCATTCGCTCAGATCCTGGGCGTCTTGTAAGTTTGGGCGATGGTGTTACCGCGTTCGTGGGCTTCCACTNATTAATAACCCTATTTGGGCCTTTATCCTGAATTGTCCAGTTGGGCTTCATTCTTTGGGTTATTTGAATTGGGCTGCACTTTTTGCATGTCAACAATTACCCCTAATATGGCAGAATTAGTACCAATTATTAATTTTTGTCATATTCACTTTGTGTTTCCCAGCAACATTTGAAATTTCCAAGAATTTCGATCATTATTTTCTTCCATAACTTGAAAAGGTGCGACGTTGCAAACCTTTATAACCCCCAAATACACGTCATTTCATCGCACTACTAAATCACGCCTCATTGCTCCGCGCTTCTGTCTCGTAATATTACTATTCATCTTCTTACTTCTCTGCTACGTTTCTCGAGCAGACTTCAACGAAACTTTATTTCGATCTTGATGGCTGCTTCACAATCCCAATCTAGTGACTCTTTTAGTTTCGAAGACTTCCAGAAACTCCTCACTCGGCCATATATAACTCCGAACTTCATCGTACTAGCCAATGCCGAACTCAATGAGTTCTATCTAGGTCCTTTATTCAACAATGCCGAGGCCGTCGAACAAGTGGCGGTGGGCCAGTTGTTCCCTTGTACGAAAGGCCCTCTGTTAAAAACTTTTTGCCGTTGAGGTCACTTCGCGAAAGAGATATTCGTACTTGGCCTAAATCTGATGTCGTTTTCCGTAGATGGCAATTTTTGATAATGCTAAGATTTCTGATTTGTTAGAAATCTCTCTTCAACCCCCTATTTTTGATTCAGCGCTTTTCTCTATTGCATTAAGTTTTTGGTCCTCTGAATATAATACTTTTGTTTTCCCTCTTGGTCCCATGTCCATTACTTTAAGGGATAAATGCTATAAATGCTCGCAATCTTCTTTTGACGAGTAATTTTTCATTAGCCCCCTTCAATCCTGGTCATGCCATCCATCCTCTTTTTGAATAACTCTGGCCATCAGTACAGCGCAGATTGTTTGCAACTGATGCCAATCGCGCATTCCATTCACTGGATCAACCGGACATTTCTTCCACTTCTCCTGTTTTGGTCATCCCTGTGTCCATTAGGAGTCCCTCCTCTTCCGTTCGTGCTAAATAGTCTATTCGTCCATCTACTTCTCTTCCTGTCAAGCCTACTGCAGCTAAGAGTGTTCCAAACCGCAAATGGCCAACCTCAGCATCTCCCATTTTGGAAGATGATGATGATGACACTCCTCTCATTGTCAGGAGAAATGTAA